TGGTAATATATTAATAATAATATTATAATTATTATATCATTGTTACTGTTATTATCTCTTTGTTTTTGTCTATGTGTCTGTCGTGTTGCTATTGCGTCAGCGAAATTTGATTTCAATATTTTTTTTGGAAATGAAATAAAAGGAATCAAAAAGAAAGAAATTTTTTCGGTTTGCTTCCAGAGATGACAAGATTGGAATACTATAGTGATTGAGTTATTTGAAACGTTGTTGATTGTCAAGGCACTTGATCGGATCGGCAGTCTTTGTTTCAGCTTTAAAGCTGTTAAGTTTTCTAAATAGGGATACAAAATCATAAGTAGGCCTAATTGTTTTTGGTTTTTATTAGATATTTACTTCAGATAGCTTTAGCTGAGATGTTTCTTTTTAAGCTGGATATTTGAAGAGAATGGGGTTGTATGTTAGAATAGCGTGAATATAAATTGTATCTATTTTTAAATATATATTTATCCATTTTCCTTTGATAGAAATGGTATAACCAACATTGAACAACACATATTGTATAACATTTTGCAAATATTTTACAGCAGTCAGTTGAATTGTTGTAGAGTAATGGTCCAAAAAAAATAAAAAGAAATTGTCGAACAGGCTACTCAGCCAAAACCAAACGAAAAAAAGGAAGCTGCATGTTTACACATTATTATACTACACGCAAATTCAAGGTAAAACCAATGAACAGCTTTACAAAACATGTAAGCGAAATAACAGTTGAGCACAGCTAGAGACAAGGTCTCCCACCCTAAAGCTTCGAATAATTCCTCCAACGAACTGCCAGTAAATGTCAATACAGTTTTCGTCTTATACATCTTATGCGGACGTAATATGAGCACCAATCTATTCCAGCCTTATTATTGTTCACCCAACCTATTCTCGCCTTATTATTGTTAGCCTAATTACTGTCGCTGTAAAGGAAAGTAAGGTTCATCTAACTTTCCCATCATGCTCGCTGTAAAGTGACTTGTGATCTTTTCAACGTAAATTAGATTTTACATAATTTTTTACTGATTACATGATAGATTATGCCAGATAATTTCACAATTCTTTGAATTATAAACTTTTTTAGTTACTTTATTTTTTTAATGAATAATAGACATATTTAATAATTTTTTACCCCGGGACAGACCTACTTTTATAAATATCATCAATGGTACGAAAAGCTATTTAGATGTCTTAAAAAAATTTAACTTTTTCTTTATTTTTTTTTTTATCACAAAACAGAACAGTTTGCTAGGCCCTACAACCTCGTTCAATAAAAATAAAAAATAATATTTAAAAAAAAAGCAACTTAAAAATATTGGTGGTACTTAGGTTTTAATGTTCTTATAGATATTTGATCTTAAATTCCATGCTTGTTGAATGTATTTTTTACAATATTTATCAAAGATGATTGAAAGATTTTCATCTATATAAGACAGATCATTTAAAAATATATGATGTTTAAAATCAAAAGTTAAAGTCAGACTCCAGAGGGAAAAAAGTTTTGATATGTTACCGCCCACTTTCCCCTAGATTTTAGATATTTAAAAATCTGTATCTCATTCACCGTTGCTCAGTTTTTGATCAAACTACTTTTTTCTGTCTTAGAAAAATCAGTTCTACAACATATCAGAAAATGTTTTTCCTCCGGAGCCTGACTTTAAAATTAACAGTTGAGCGCAGCTAGAGACAAGGTCTCCCATCCTAATGCTTCGAATAATTCCACCAACGAACTGCCAGCGAATGTCAATACACTTTTCGTCTTATACTGCTTATATGTGGACGTAATATGATCACCAATCTATTCCCGCCTTATTTGTTACCTAACTTATTCCCGCCTTATTGTTGTTAGCTCAATTACTGTCGCTGTAAAGGAAAGTAAGTTTCATCTAACCTTTCCATCATGCTCGCTGATTCTCGCTCTAAGTGACTTGTGATTTTTTCTACGTAAATTAGCTTTTACATATTTTTTATTGATTGTTTATGCTAGATAATTAAGCTGTGAAGTTAAGTTGAACATAAGGTACATGCTCGATTGTATAAACTTTAGTTACTTTATTTTTTTAATGAATACATAGACATATTTAATATTTGTTTACCCCGGAATAAAGTGTTGCAAATTTTTGTCCCATAGACCCTGATCGTCCACGAAATACTAAAATTCGCCTGGAACTAAAATTCGTGCTACACCGGCCATACAATTCTGCGCTATATTGTTGTTTTATTCTTTACTGATCCATGATTAGGCTTAATTGTTTTGTGTTTTATTTGGATAATAGCAACGAATTCTACCTCCGCCAAAGAGGTTATGCATTCACCGATGTCACTGTCTGGGTGTCTATTCCAGATTGTTAAAATGTTAATATTAGGCCTATATATTTATAATATATAGCTAATTTTTTGTTTAATGTCAATGCAATATTTTACCTTTCTCTATCCTTCGGAAAACGATATAAATGATGACCTTGTTTGTATAATGTGTTGCAATTTATTGCACAGCAACGTCCTCCAATGCCGTACGTCGCCATAGCGCATCGCGGTGTACAATTTTTCAATTGAGAATTGACAATTAAAAACGCAACGACTTGGTAACAAAAGTTTGGTAGAATTTTTTTTAGAACCATCCGTACGGGGAGCTCCATTGTTTGTATTCCACATATCTTTGCTAAATGCTAGCATGATCATCTACATCGTGGTATGGACATGATACACAGTAGGGGTACAGTACCTGCCCTGGTATTCTGAACTTACACTATAGTTGGCCTAGCCCATTCATTTTCCTGTCTGAGATAATAGCCTACCAGTACACATGATTTAGTTAAAACAGATTATGTTTAAAGTGAAACTGTCAAACTAATATTATTTGGTGAATTTATGTAATTTTTATGTGAAAGAAGAATTAATAGATACTGTAAATTTTGAAAATATAATAATTGCTGCTACTAGATCTTTATTTACTATTTCATTAATAACTGACCAATCAGAACATGTTAATAATAGCCAAGAGTTTATTCATGTCCCACAAACATGTGAGATTAGGTCAAGTAAAAAAAGAAGTAGTTTCTCGTACTAATATTTTGAAAAAAGGAGAATGAAGGGACTTTTTTTTATTTACTCCAAGATGGCAAATCCGAGATGGTCGATAGGAAACAGCTACTACTTTCTCACTTTTATTTTACCAAGTAAG